ACATAGGGCGTTATAGACAGACATAAGCCAACATTGTTTCATGGATTCAAAAGTTTAACTTTAAGATTAGTAGGTTTTGATGCCACCATTTTGGTAATTATTCCATTGTTTATTCAAAGAAGAATCAGGCTGATTAAATAATTATTTATGCCATGGTAAGTTTCCCTACTATTAAACTAAAAACGGTCAAAGGATAAATGTTAATGCTATCATTTTCAAGGTTACTTGTGTCGGGTAGGCAAATTTGTATAGAAAAATCAAATACAAAGTAGGGATGTGTGTGCATAACAAAAAGATTGATAAAAACCAATATCATTGAGTATGTACATGGCTAGATAAATGTATATAGGAATAATTGAATCAATAGCCAATGGAATTTACGAATTAGACATACAATACCGCCAGTATAGAGGGCAATATAGGATAATTCATGTAAACGAACCTCATAATCCGTTTTGAGGATAGCCCGCGTGCCGAATCCTGGCTGATCAGAATAAAGTTTTATAGTTCTCATCCAAATATCAGGAAGAATCCTACAGCCGGGAATAGGCTCATCAGCTAGTTTATCCATCGCTTCCACTGCCCTCCAAGGCGCAGAGACATCGCCCTGACGAATAGGAAGAGCAAGTATCCGTTTCTCTTCTTCTCTGTAGGTAGCATCAGATTCATATGGTGAATCTGGAAGCGGTATGTAATTTAGGGTTTTTTTAAACATGTAATATAGAGGCCAAGTTAAATATTCATATGCATAGACAATGGTCTTGATGATCCCCATCCCGAGAGGGACAAAGACGAACTCGGAGAAGGTCATGTGGGAGATGAGCAAGGAGCGCGTCTTTTCAAGGATTACACTAATGAAGTTAATTAGAGACTTTTATGAAGTAAAACGTTAACGCTTTTTAAATATAACTAAAAAAGTAGACTTAATAATAAATATTAATATCAAATTAATAATGGCTAAATATTGTTGTATGACAAGCGAAAAACTATATATTATTAAAAAATAGCTTCATTAATTTCTGCGAAGATTATTACATCTGTAATATTGCTAAATATTTAACTTAGTTTATTAAGATAATATTAGATAATAAGAACAATTTTGATGGATAAATTTGATTAAACCATTTTTATCCTTTCCTTAGTAATCACAAGTGAATTTTACATTTGGTTAGTGTCCTGAGGTTTTAATTGAATAACTTGTGGAAAATTGACACTGATATGGAAAATTTGAGGTTTTTGAAGGTATAACGAACTTAGATCTACACGAAAAATATAGTTTATAGATCTACTCACCCTATTTCGTTTAATGTGTCTAACGACTGGTAGCTGGATTTTTCAACGATTATATTAATAGGCCTAACTCTTTCATCAAAGTTCACATAAACGTGAATCCAAAATGTAGTTTCATCCAGGGTGGATAGCAGTGTGGGTCTCGTATAAATCTTATCAGCACCCTGAGTGGGACTCGAAGTTTGATAGTGCGGCATATAATTATACATGTTAATAACTACGCAACACCTTTACGAGTGTCCTCGGGTCCCAGATCAGATTTAAATTGCGAGGAAGGCCAGGCCTTTCCTATGTCACATTATGTTGCAAGTCTCAAAACCTACTTATATACGCTAAAAAGATATAGTTGTATCCTATTTGAGAGCTCTAAACTACTCAATAAACCTAACTACTTTTTATATCGTATGCAATTTCTTCTCTGCTTCCGACTGCATCTCCATGGAGTAGTTTTTATTGAAGTACCCTGATGGAATATCTATGGAGAAAAATTTTAACCTATCCTATTCTTTAGTCCTTTGTTTGTCAAGTTTTGAATTATATTGTTGTTTACTTAATTTGACTAGACTCAATCTAAATGTCTTCTTGATTTTACATTCTCCATCAAGAGTCTCTTAATTGTAATATTTTTTCTTCTGATTTTAACTACATCCATACCCCAGTGTATTTTTGATTCCTATTCTCCTATGAGTTTACCCTAAAAACATGCAAGATAAAAAGTTGGCGACTACTTCTCAAGTCCAAGGTTCGAAGCTAAAAATGACCGCGACTAAAGTTGGAAGGCTTCAGACATACATTTATGTCATCCTGAAACAATCAATTTGATAAAATGAGGTAAAAATATTTCCAAGCAAGCACTCTGCATATAATCACTGTATAAATCACTTAAAACTTATTAAGACTACACGCTTTTAAACACTTGAATATATTTTCAGCTAAGGTACTTTTATGGCGAGATTCTTCCGTTCTGTTTGAAATATTTGCAGATCTCTAGTATTAAAATATCATGTATCCTAGTAAAATAACATAACTTAGTCAAATAGGCGTCATTATCTCTATAATTCGAGCGTTTTAACATGCAGTATGTTTAAAGTTCATCCCACATACCAATTTGCTTCTATTATTGCAATGTAAATATACTCTTAATCCATAACGGATGTCATACTTGCCGTTACCTCATTTATCATCAGCCTGTTAGTAGCTGTCTTGGAACCAGGCTATTTTGCTTCTCTTACCACGTTGTATGATAATATATATAGTGCTCATTTCTAAATTTTCCACAGGTCTACATTCAGAGTGCTGTCTTATGCTTATGATTAGAAAAACAAGAAAAACTAGTATGAGCAGCTAGGTAAAACGGTCTAAAGTAGCTAAACACGGGGTGGAGATTCACACAAAAACGAATATTCTTAATCGCAGAGGTTTGCAGATTATGGTAATTTTGCAATGATATAC